CGGGTGTGGCGTCCCCCCCCCCCCCCCCCCCCCCCGCCAGTCTCTGGGTTTCTTCCCCCTCTGTTGTAATCTGGACTGGGTTGGGCTGTGTAGGCCCCTCCCAGTCCTCTACCCATGGGGCTCCGGAACTGTCGCAATAGCGCATGCGTGTTTTTTCCTGCTAATTATCCTGCTTCATCAGGGGTTGGTGGGAGGGTGATGTATATTCAGGGGAGATGGAGAACACATTCAATAGCAGTAGAGAGAGGACAAGGATAGTGGGAAATGACTCCCATTAGAGTTGAGACACTCTATCGGCATCAGTGCCTGGTTAGTACTCTTTGAAATAATTGTAAATGATTATGGGGAGATTTTGAATGGGTATTGTAAAGGCTATTGTGGATATTCCAATATATATGCTACACTAATGATCATTTATATCACTTGGACATATTGGGATGGATTAGATAGGATAGGGGATAGTAGATTTAAATGTTTATGTGGGAGTTGCATGTCTTGGATTTTTCATTATTGAAGCAAGGTTTGGTAATAGTCCCCCTCCTACGGATGTGTATATTTCTTTGATCTTTCAGTGTGCAAGAGTTGCCATTTGATGGCGTCCTTCTGTCTCCTCCCTGTGTATGTTGATCCCTCTGTGGCCCCCTGAAGGGAATTGATGTCTTGATTCTGTGCCCTTACCAATATTGATCTATATTCAGCTTGTCTCACAGTAAGCCAAAATTGCCATATATATATAATATACAATTATCAATTGTCATTTAATTCCGAACAATTACGAAACGCGCCGAAAACCTTTAAACACAATGTTTTTGAATGAAATGAGCATATATACCATTAAACTGATAGCTTTGTAATAACATACTACTTTGGTGGTGAATATTTGACAAAATCGGTTGTAAGGACCAGCAGAAGTAACTATTGGTTTTACACAAAATGTTTGATTGTTTTTAAAAATTAATATGTAATCAATAAAAGTTTAAAATTGTACACATTTGTTGTTTCTGTTGTTTAGTCTGGTATGTTGGTTTTAAAAAAGCAGCCATTTTTATTGATAGGAAAAGGCTTGTACCTATCCTACATTATTTGTTCACGTAGTTTTTTCCTGCCACCTCACCACCCCTGTAAATTATGCCTAAGTGCATCGAGTTATGGGTGTGACCAAATTGTTCTCAATGTGCATGTGTGAAAGGCAAAAAGTGTAAAGAACTTTTTTTCAGGTACATATTTTTCATTATCATGGGAACCCCATAATCCCTACATTAGAGGGTGCCCTTTTTCTTCTAACAGTATGGCATATGAATTTTCTTCACCTGCCTGCTGCTTTGATTGTTGCGTGTGCATATCATCGCTTGGCAAGCTGGCCACAGTTGTTCTGTATTTTCTTTAATTTTTAGATGCTCAAAATGAAAAACAATGGACATAGTTGCCTTTTAATTTGTTGTCTTCATAATCATGACAAGACTTTTAAATCTACAGTTTTAGTCATGTGAGTGAATTCCATAGTTCATCACAAAGTTCAGGCTCCAGAAGTAAAGCTGTACTATGATACACTGCTAGACATGATAAAGGAGTCTATAGTCTACAACATTTATGGTTCAAAAATATATGTAGATAAAACATTAAAAAAGACATTGTGTTCTAAAAAACCATTAGGAACAATATGTGAAATAATATTGAATTGTGCATTAATATTGTACAAGGCTGTCAACTCTATTGTCCAGTCCAATAAGAAACCAGAGAAAGTAGTTGTTTTTTTTTACCTAGGAGCCTTCAGTAAGTGCTCCTAAATATTACCTCAATTGATCTACGCAGGATGTCATCTGACTATTGGGATACAAGCTCCTTGTGGATCGCCTAAATAGTAAAATAACGCAAATCTTTATACATGTGTTGGACAAAAATGAGTGTGACTGAGATGCATGCCTCAGGGTACTTGTGAATAATAAAGTAAACCTGTTAATGTAAGCTTCAAGTATATCAACTGGAAAAATCATTAAGTCAGGCAGAGCATAGAAAATTCAATAAACACTTGCATGTAAACATACCCAAAGACGTGAGATAACAGAGGGATTTGGATAAGAGTCTTTGGGGTATATAACTATCAGATAGCTTATAAAACTGAATGCTGAAAGGGCTGGAAGACTCTGAGATAAAAATATCTTTTTTTTTAATATTCTTTGAAAATTGCAATTTTTACTGTAAAAATTGAGGTTTCCTCCCAAGCCTTATTATTTGTCAGTGAGGCTATTACATTAAAATAGAACTGTAGCCAAAACTTTTTTCAGTTTTGGATAGAGTAAGGAAAGGTTATAATCCCTGTCAGATTTTGCCATCTGTGTCACATTGGGGAGGTTTCCCTTCATTTCCTGTCTGATGGCCTCATCAGGGGGTGAGAGGAAATCCTTTCAAAAAGGGGTAAATTCCTGGTGATCAGCAGGGCCCCCATTGCAAGATTTCCCATGTATTCCTGCTCTGGTGACAACCCAAAACTTTGAGATTGTCTTTCACTGATAACTGTCACCAGGACAAATAGAGGGGGTGGATCTCCCTAACACGGACACAGACAGCAATAAGAGCCTGACAGGTGTTCTGATCCCTCTCCACCCTATCCAAAAAAAATATTTTGGCCTTGTTGCACTTAATGGACCAACAGAGATTGGGAAGAGGCAGGAGGCTTGGAGCAAAGTTCAACGTTCACAAGAAAAGTAGCAATTTACATATAAATTGAATTGCTTCTATATTGCTCTACTGAGCAATATAGAGAGGAACTCCAGGATTTTCACAAATTAACCCCCCGCACTGCATGGGTTTAGTGCTCATTTTGTTTGGGGGCGAATATAAAGAAGAAATACCCAACTGATCTTCAGTTCCGTCTAGCTGCTAGACCAGTCTAAGTACCTGTGACAAGTTTGAGCAGTCTAAGTACCTGTGAGTTCATCACGTCTAATATAGACCCATTAGACATGAGGATGCTGAGGAGAGCAGAGGGGGAGAGAGGTAAGCAGTCACTGCCACAGGACCGAGGATCAGGTGAATATTTCTTTTTTATTTTCGTTCCTAGATCAAAATGAGCAGTTAACCCTAGCAGTGCGGAGGTAGCCCCATTGTAAGGGCTAAGTTTAACAAATCCAGGATTACTTTAACTTTTTTGACTGCAAGTAATCTCAGCTCTGCGAAATACTGTACATCTAAAGACAGTTTGATTATGCCTGCATATCCAACTGTGCTCTGAAATCTATGGGCAACTTTAGCCCCTTTAGGGCCAAGAAGAAGAACGTAGCAGATTTAGCTAAGTTAATTAGCATTAAGTCAAGAACTTTGTGTAAAGAGAAACCTGAAAGAAGAGACAAAAGCTTTACAAAATGGTCGCACATCCTCTCTAGTGCTCCACCTACACATCCTTTAGTCTTTCTAAAAGTTTTTTAGAATACTGTTATATGTATTGCATTCCAAATTGCTAATGCAGCTAGAATAATGTCATCTGTGACGTACAAGTCCTGAATGTTACACTTCAAAAATACACAAAAATCTCAAAAGATTAAAAAAAAGAGTCCTTACTTGCCTTTATATTAAAGTGACACTAAACTCAGGAGTTAAATCTTAAAAATGCATTCAAGTACCTGAACTATTAACAAAAATGTATCTTTTTTGTGTATCACTCAGCTTTAGATCCTCAAATCATCTCTGAATTGGTGCTGACACTGTCCTTCCATCTGGAGGGTGGCTACTTTTCTTCCCCATGGTTCCTGTCTGTGTTGTAAAGTAGCCACCACTCCAAGCTTGCTCCCATGATGGACTACAATCTCAGTACAAATTAGTAAAATTGTAGTCCATCATGGAAGCGGGCTAGTTTACAACAAACACAGGGACCATGGGGAACACAAGTAGCCACCCTCCAGAAGGAAGGACAGTGTCAGCACCAATTCAGAGATGATTTGAGGATCTACAGCCGAGTGATACACAAATAAGATACATTTTTGTTAATAGTTACTGTACTTGAGATTTTGTTACTGAGTTTAGTGTCACTTTAAGACAACAATTTTTTATGACAGATTCTGAATCTCTAGTATAATAAATATGCCTCTTAATCATAAGCTACCTCAGTTTTATCTCTGGGTCATGACATTATGGCGTATGTTCACTTTGTGTATGGTCACAGAATCGGCACAGGCTCTTTAAATAACCATTAGGCTATGCCATTAATGAACAGTAATGCCACAAGTCAAACCTCTCCCTTTTCAAAATGTAATGGGTTCCTGTGTTTTTCATCTACTTACGAGGTACTACATGCTTAACTTTCACAGGGGTATGGACTTTAATAAATATGTGAATAAAATATATATTATTTAAAGTGTACTGTAATTTCACAATTCTTACTTTGTATAAAATGCCACAAATTTTAATTCCTCAATGTCCCCTTGAATGATAACATCATCAAAGCCTTCCCCATTGCCTAAAACGACAAAAGAAAAAATGCAGGAAAGTCAGAAGTTGAATATATGGGAATATATACTTAAAGCTGAACTCTAGGCAAACATAACACTCATTAAAGTATCTACTTGATTGTTAATATATTATTAAATGTATTTTTTGTATAAATGCAAGCAGCCTGAATTTGACTTGTGGCCAATGTTTATATCAAGGAGATAAAGAGCAGTTGGATCAATCTTAGCATAATGCCTTTTAGTCATTATATATGTGGATTCCATTACTTGCAACAACAAAAATCTAGTCTGTTTTTTAAGCTCTTTGCTGATTTTGCCATTACTGCTTAATGTGTCAGTTCTTTCCAGCAAAGCCTATTTTCATGATAAAACTAACCTCTCCCCTCTAACTAAGGCCTATTTTACTTACCAAAAGCTGTGGTCACATGATCCTCCAGGACCCAGTCTCCTCCTTCTTTTTCTTTACTTCCAGCGTGGTCCTTCTTCGGGTGTCCACCTCACTGCCTGACATGTACACCTACTATTGGTTGTCCAGCGGCGGGGTCCTCTCAGGATTCAGAAGAGCTGTGACATCATCAAAAGGGAATGGTAGGGGACTGTCAGGCGAAGGACCATCTGGAAATTTGGATTAGTGGTATATGGAGACAGTGCCGGTGAGGGATCTGGAGGGGGGGACTTAGGTGAGTATAACTTGCTTCACAAGGTAGGGAAAAATAAAAACCCTGCATGATGGGTTGGAGCGTGGTGTGTGGGAGGGAGGGGTGGTAAGGGGGGAATATTTTGTTAATTCAAATATAATTTGTAGTTCTAAATGCACCATATTTGTTCCTGTCTAGTGATCATGCACAGTGTTTTTGCCTTACTTTACTCTTTGTAATGTACGTCTACCGCACACATCTGGGTAACTGAAAACAATGCACTCTCTATGTGGAATGAATTCTATGAATGTCTTTTACCTTAGTAGTTGCTAATTAGGGTGGCTGACAGATACTGTATTTAAATAACCGCTACATAGCCACAACTAATGTATAATTAAAATAACCCAGTATTTGAGCTAATTGAACATTGCATATACTTCTCCTTACAATAAATTAAGTAGATGATCCCTTTACCTGCATATCGTATACTCTTTCCAAACATGGCTGTCCATAGATATGGAATAGTATTAATTTCAGTGCCTTGAGCCAGCATGTTCAGTGCTGCTATGCGACCTGTGTACCCGAAACAAGAAACAGATTTCCAACATAATAAAAAACATAATAAATAATCATATTCTCATAAATGATTGCATTATGTATATAGGAGCTTAATTGTTGTATGCTTAAACAACCTGCTAACTAAATCTACCAGGTTCCATCACTGAGTACTGGGCCACTAGAAATGGGAGAAGAAAGACAAGGTATATAGAAAAGATAAACAGGTATATTAGAGCAGGACATCTTGTAATATACACTCAGTACATCATTAGAGGAAATCTGAAAATGTAAATAGGAAGCAATAGGTTTCCAGTTTTACTTAAAAAGAAAAAATAGTTTAAATATGTGTTCAACTGACACCTATACTGAGGAAATATGGAGGCTGCTTTAGCTGACCCGTCCTTCTGAGAAATCTTGTCCACTGGGTCTCATGCTAATTCAATACTTTCCATACTTTCTGAGTCACTGGGTTTGATTTACTAAAGGGAAATAGATTGTTCACATACCAAGGGAATTTCCCCTTAGCTTAGTGAATAAGCTGAAGCTCTGTTGACTTATATCATCCAACCACGTGCAAGCAAAAACACTATTTTTTCTAGTTTCCTTCCACATGATTGGGTATTCTTTGCAAATGTTTACCACATTCACAAACCTAAGTGAAAATTCCTTGTCAAGGTGCAAATTGGCTTGCAAAGTGAACAGCTTATTTGCCTTTAGTAAATCAACCACTCTGACCGGGAATAGGTATCAGATAAACAGTTCTGACTCACTGACTTAGGGTATTTTCACACCAGCAGTATGCACTACCATGCAGCTTCTGTGAAGGAAGTGTTATAATGCACTAATTCCAGCAGCACATAGCACTGTTTATTTTTTTTTTCTTTTTTTTTTTTTTGTTTGAAATGTATTGAAGTTTTACAAAGTGAAGTTCTATTCACCCTAGTGCATTGCAATGCAGTGCATTTGTCAACACGCTGCAGTAAAAAAAAGTATTGTACATTGTATTTTTTTTTTTCAATGGACACCACGGCAATGTGGTGGTATGAACTGACTTACTAGTAAACAAGGTAAACTTCAAATGCGTTAGAACTGTGCTGAGCAGGGCTCCCAGGCACAGCCTAACATATCTGGTATATGCAGGCTCTTAAGTATTTGCATATTCCTAACAAGCAGCAAGTGAGCTTCAAAACAAGACATCCAAAGCTCTGTAGCTACAGGAACTGTGGAGTATTTCATCCTCAAACTCTCAGCATAAACACTTCAGGTTATTCTCTTAGCAGCTCAGCTCCCCCTCTATCAATGACTTTGCAGCTTTCCAGGCTTTTAATCTCTAATGTAAACATGAAAAATGTGCTTTTGTAGAGGGGGGCAGGGTGAGCTGAGCTGCTGAGTTAACAACTTGAATGACTTCTGCTGTTAACTGTGATGGTGAATTGCTCCACAGTACCTGCAGCAACAGAGGTCAGTGAGGGTTTGTGTTAAAGCTCTGTTACTGCTTGATAAGAATGTATTTTTAAAGAATATCGACAGCCTGACCACAGGTTCACTTTAAGGCGTAGAACACCATGCTTATACAAGGCTTCAAATATCTTCACATACAGTACATTAAGCCTTTTGTAAGTAGGTAACATTGTGCAGAGAGGTAACCATAAAATAATATATATTGTGTTCATTACAAAATTAAACTGATATCCCCAATAATTGTATTAAGTGTAATTATCCTTATCCTAAAGTTACCTTGCATATGTGCCATCTGCCAGTGAGGTACATTGACTTTCTTGTTATTGCGGAAAGCTAATGGGAAAGTCACAACATCCCCTGCAGCAAAGACACCAGGAATGTTTGTCTGCATCATCTAGGAAAAGTAAAGATTGTGCATTTACTGGATGAGTCTGGTTTTTAGAGGTACACATTCTGAATGTTCCATTATACACCAGAATACAAATCAAAATATGGGCTCAATGCCTCTTTATGTTGTAGTAGCCACTTTATTAGGTAGACCAAACAATTACTGGGTAAGATTCTGTTTTGCCTTCAGAGCAGCCTAAGTAATTTGTGGTCTGGATTCATCAACAAGGTGCTCAGAATGTTCCTTAGGGATTCTGGTCCATGTTGACTTGATTTGTTGACCACACATTCATGCTACACCCTATGGTGTACCTCAAATACTGACCCTCCAATCTGCATGTAACAGCAGAATTTGGGATTCTTCAGAACAGTCAACATTTTTCTAATCTGGTGTTTTAACCTCAATGCTTTTGTTGTATTGTTTTAGAGACTATAGTGCATGAATATCCTAGTATGTCAGCAGTTTCTGAAATACTGCATCAGAAAGAATATCACAAATATCTCGCAGTCACAACTTGTCATTCTTATTCGTTTTTGACCTTGGTTTTGTTTACACCTGGTTCGGTTCTATCTTGTCTCTGGTTTGTGTCTTATCACATCACTTTTGCCTTCTGTTTTGCTCTCAGTTTGGTTACCGATTGTGTCTGTTATTCTCTTATTAACGTCTTTCTCCAATGTCTGTCTGCCTGTGTATTCTAATTCTGTTGCTTCCAGCTTTGTGCCTGTTCCACCATTCTTCCCCTTGGTAGCTCTCCATGCTCCCTGCTTGCTTCACCTAAAGTAGACCCTACTCCCAGTTCTGTTCCTGGCTGGTCTCTATTTGGTATCTGTTGTTACATCTGTTTGGGGTCTGTTGTTCCAGTCTTGTTTCTAGTCCTGTTAGTGCTGGTGGGCAACCGTGTAAGGTCCTGTGTCCACTGTCGTTTGTTTGCATCAGAGCTGCTTCTTTGCCCCTACAAGTCTATGGGAATACAAACGTAATCTTCCTGTCCCATCGCACTCCTGACCGGACAAAAACCCAAATCCAACTGGGTGGGTGCGGTGGTGACAACGTATGACTCCGTGAAATGTAGATAGATGAAAGTAGTCACTTGCACTCCATGATATTAAATTCAATGCTGTTTATTGACTGAGATAACACACATCTCCTTAGCGATGTTTCGAGGACAGGATAGGGTTGCCACCTTTTCTTCCAGTGAGACCCGAACACTCTGGTGACGCATGGACATTTTTGGGGAGAATGAGTCCCGGCTTATTCATATGTAAATAGCGCCACCCACTGATACGTAAATCAGTCGAGACATTTTTTTTTCAGTGGGGGGGGGGTCAATAGCCCTTATCTTAATTTTGGTTGCCCTGTCTGCCTGACCTCTTTTATCCGGGATTCAGCTGCCATGAAACCTGGACACATCGTTCAAAACCCGGACTGTCCGGGTGAATCCTGGACAGTTGGCAGCCCTAGGATAGGACCGCATGGTCTCGAAACGTTGCTAAGGAGAAGTGTGTTATCTCAGTCAATAAACAGCATTGACTTTAATATCGTAGAGTGCGAGTGACTACTTTCATCTATGTGAATAGAAAAGCGGCTTGAAGCAGGTCAGTTCTGGAAGCATGTCATTTCTGAATGATCTCATATGCATCTCAAACTGATGTCAAAAGCAAGTTGCATTTACTCAAAAACAAGACTGAATATTTTTAACGCAGGCCAGAAACATAAAGCAGATCCTCCTGTTAAAGGAGGTTGCCAAAGACAGAACAGTTTTCCTTAAAAAAACCTATTCTTTGGTTTGCTAAACACCAACAACTGACAATCAAGGCTGATACACTATTTTAGCAGGCCACCATCCCAACTAAGGACACTGCAGACCATTGCTCCCACCCCAGTAACATATCTGAAGCAAGCTCAGCTAAACACCAACAACTGACAATCAAGGTGAATGGAATACTTCATATAAACAGCTAACTTATCCTACCAAATACTTGAAAACTTTACTTCTGCAACTCTACTATTCTTAATGTAATTGGATTTATTGTATGTACTATTGTAATTATTATCCGAGTCTGATGTTTTTAGTGATAGCATTATTTGCATGCCTGCATAATGTCTTTCTAACCATAAATTCTGCTCAAGCTAATTGCCCTCTGATCTGCACTTTGAATAACCCCCCCTTTCTCCAACTTTCCCTTCTCACCTCTGCTGGCTGATACACTATTTTAGCAGGCCACCATCCCAACTAAAGGCACTGCAGACCATTGCTCCCACCCTCCCTCCCCTCAACCCACCTGCCCCATGGTAAACTATACCTATATAGAAATCCATCAGCACTTGAGACGAGTACAATTCAAGAGTCCAGCAGCTGCTATTCATCTAACACTCTCCCTGATCCTCATACAATTCCACTTTAACCTCTTCCCTACCTCCCTCCTTGCACTCCTTTCACCCTTACAACTCCTCATTCACTTTACTGTCTCAAACTTCCTCTGCACAGCCAGGAGGTTGAGGGCACACTCACCATCGGACATTAACCTCCCTGGCGGTCTGATTATGCAGAATTTTAGCATGCCAAAGCGGTAAAACGTCCCTGACTAAGTAGATAGCTGAAATCTGGTTTTTAATCTCCTCTCTCTATATGCGTTCCCTACCATTGCTTCTCAGAATTGTGGCTTCTCTTCTTGAACTCTATTTCCTTTACCCCCCCCCCTTCTCCACCCCAAAGTTTATATATGTCACCTTCTCTCCTACCCTCTCCCTACTACTGCACTCATCACCTCCTGCTCATTCTGAATCCACATGCCAGGGTTACCTCCAGGACACTGGGGCATGTTCACTCATATAAAACGCACTCTCATCTCGATTCTCTCACCCTTCTGCTTCTCCTGACTTCAGGGGATATCTCTCCCAATCCTGGCACTGCCTTTCCCCTGGCAGCAGCTGCAATCCACGCACCTTGACTTATTTTCCCCTGCTTCCTACAGCCATTCCTTCCTTCTCATGTGCCCTCTGGAATGCCCACTCTGTCTGTAACAAACTCACCACTGTGCATGATCTTCTTATCTCCAATTCCTTTAACATGCTTGCAGTTACTGAAACCTGGCTTCAGGAATCCGATTCTGCCTCCGCTGCTGCCGTCTTCCATGGTGGCCTCCACTGGACACACTCACCCAGACCCAGTGGACAGAAAGGAGGTGGAGTGGGAATCCTTCTATCCCCACAATGCACTTTTCAAGTTCTGCCTTCACCTCCCTCTCTATCCCTCTCCTCTTTTGAAACCCACTGCATTTGCCTATTTTCTCCAATTTTGCTGAAGATTGCGGTTATATACTGGCCCCCCTGGACCGGTATCTCACTTTCTGGGTGACTTCTCTGCCTGGCTACCCTACTTTCCCTACTTTATCTCCTCAGAAATACCCACTATCATTCTTGGTGCCTTTAACATTGCTAGTAACATTAACACCACGGCTTACACTCAATTTCTTAACCTAACCTATTCTTTTGACCTAACACAATGAACACACTCTGATGGTAACATACCAGATCTTGTTTTCTCTCACCTATGCACTCCTTGCAACCTCTCCAACACCCCTTTCCCCCTCTCAGACCATAACCGCTTTAGTTTCACACTCACCCTGTCCCAAACCCCCCTACACAGCACACTGTCACCCGGAGAAACCTTCGCCACCTTGACCCTTCTCTTCTCCAATCTGCTACTGACTACCTCTATGACAAAATCTCACCCCTGTCCTGCCCTGGCTACTTCTGTCTACAACAGCTCGCTCTCATCCTCCCTAGACACATTGGCTCCCCTCACTACACGCAGATTTTCACCACGTCTACTACAACCATGGCAAGCAGAAGAAACCAGGCATCTAGAAAGACATATCCGCACTCTTGAACGACTGTGGCAGAAAACTAGGCTTCTGCAAGACTTCACCCTGTATAAAGCTGCCCTCCTGAAATATAACTCCTTCCTCCGTGCTGCCAAACAGACTTATTTTGTCACTCTCATTAGCACACTCTCATCCAGACCACGTCAACTTTTTTCTACTTTTAACTCTCTACTATGTCCCCCACTGCCACCACCCACTCACTCACTAACTGCCCAGGACATTGCCATTCATTTCAAAAACAAAATAGATACAATTCGGGATCAGATCGCCACTGTCCAGTCATCTTCACCAGTTAATGTAACAGACCCACCATCACACTTGTTACAGTTGTTACTTTCCTCTTTTGACCCTGTCACCACAGTGGAGGATACAAAGATTTCCTCTGACACCCACCTCACCACTTGCCCCCTGGACCCAGTTCCCTCACCACTTCTTCGGTCACCCTCTTGCTCTATCCTACACTTTCTTACTCACATTTTCAATCTCTCACTCTCTACTGGCATCTTTCCCTCCCCTCTAAAACATGCTCACTGGACCCTACCGACCTCAACAATCTCAGACCAATCTCCTTACTCCCATTCATCTCCAAACTCCAAGAACGCCTCATCTACAGCCGCATGAGCCGCTTCCTTGCTGAGCCGCCACCTTGCTGATAACGACCTTCTCGACCCCTTAGAGTCTGGCTTTCGCCTTCTGCATTCCACTGAAACCGCCCTCCTAAAACTCACTAGTGACTTACTAACAGCTAAAAACAATGGCCACTATTCCTTACTCTTGCTATTAGACCTTTCTGCTTCTTTTGACACTGTTGACCACCTGCTCCTCCTCAAAAAACTCCACTCGCTTGGCCTACAAGACTTTGCTCTCTCATGGTTCTCCTCCTACCTTTCTAAGTGCCCCTTTAGTGTCACCTACAAATTTAACTCCTCCCCTCCTTCTTCAAGGGGTCCCCTAAGGCTCTGTCCTTGGACCCCCTTCTCTTCTCTATCTACACCTCCTCCCTTGGTCAGTTAATAACCTCACATCGCTTCCAATACCATCTCTATGCCAATGACACTCAAATATATCTTTCTACTCCACAACTCACCCCCTAAGTGTCCTTGCGTATCACTAATCTACTAACTGACATATCAGTCTGGATATCACAACACTTCTTAAAACTCAACCTTTTAAAAACTGAGATCCTGATATATCCCCCCGCCCGTGCACCCTCCCCCAACTTTTCCCTTGAGATTGATAACACAACTATCCAACCCTCCCCCCATGCCAAGGTGCTAGGTGTCATCCTTGACTCAGACCTCACTTTTCTTCCCCACATGCAATCACTATCCAAATCCTGCCGCCTTCACCTTCGCAGCATCTCCAAAATACACCCCTTCCTCACCAATTAAACGTACTCATCCACTCACTCTGCCGATCCCTGCACTGGCTTCCAATTACCCAAAGGATAAAATTCAAAATATTAACAACGACTTACAAAGCCATCCACAACTCTGCTCCCGGCTATATCTCATACCTTGTCTCAAAGTATCACCCTAAACGTCCCCTTCGCTCTTCCAAAGACCTCCTGATTTCCAGCTCCCTCGTCAACTCCTCCCATGCTCGCCTCCGGGGATTGTCTACAGTCTCTCCCATCCTCTGGAACTCTTTACCCCAACCTGTCCAACGATCTCCCACTCTGACTGCCTTTAGGCGATCCCTTAAGACTCATCTCTTCAGGGAAACCTATCCCACCACTCAACCATCACATTCTCAAACAATTCATGCCCACACAGCTACCTCCTCATGTATCACTTGCCCCTCCCTTTTAGATTGTAAGCCCTAAGGGGCAGGGCCCTCCTTACCATCTTGTCTTGAATTGTATTGTGATTGCATTGTCTTCCTTATATTGTAAAGCTCTGTGCAAACTGTTGGCGTTATATAAATCCTGTATAATATTAATAATAATAATAATTTGTGGCAATGCACCCTTTGTCTGTCTTTACATCTGTTTGCCTCTTCTCTACATATCTACTGACTTATACCATCAGATGGCTTAAACACCCCTTTAATTCATAATCCTCTGCTTTCACTTAGATGTTTGTATGCCTTAAGAGTCTGTTGACTGTGACTCAAGCCCTTGTATTAGAAGTATCCCACCCCCAACCCCGAACCATTGACAGGCTTAATTATAGTGATCACAAGTTTTATTTTCTTTTAAAGCCATTTTTCCTTATTTAAAATGTTTCCCTCCATATCAGTTGAATTACCATGTTTTGCATATATCAGCCCAAGGCAGTTTTGTGATGTATACATTAGTGACAGTTGACTCTCACACATCACAGCACATTGGCTAATTAACATTCAGATTATAGCTTTGCAAATGTAGTCTTTTATAAGGTTAAGCTGTAAAACAGGCAGTTATAGTCACTGCAGGAGATATAAATAAGACAGACAGAGGTTATTTGAAAAAGTAACAGCCAAATTAAAAATATTAGCACATCTGTGAGCTATTTGTACTAGGGATTATTTCATAAAGTAGAGCAAATAGCAGCAGGACCTTTTAGTTACTGGAAGCAGCAGCATCCAGTAACTAGTGAGAGAAACTATTTTTCTTGATCATACAATCATCATCAAAATGTAGTATGATGGTACCAGCCAGAGCTGAAGGACCTTATATAACACCCCCACCCCCCACCCACTCCAACAGGAGATCCTCAGTTTCTTGCTAGCATCCTTAGGTGATAGGCATGTTTTCTCTCTTTGAAAGAATGTTAAATAATCTCACCTTATGGTGTCTTCATTCAAGTATCTAGGGCAGCACACAGCCACAGTGGCAATCATGACGTTTTCTGGATCAGCACCCCACAACGGGAACTTTGGGGGCTGTACCCTGACCCTGCAAGAACAATATTTTGAAGATATGGGGCCTGCCTGTAAAGTACCTTCGTAAACTGGATCCTGCATGAGGTGCCCACGTGGTGCACAGTGCAGCGTTTTGAGTTTGCTGCAGGATGCTATACAGGTCCAGGGAGGTGGCATATCCTCACTGGTGTGACCCCATCCCTGAAGACCCCTTCAGGGGTATGCAGGTCCAAAGTGAGTAAAGTCAAGGGTTATTGCCTTGTTGGTGATATGACACATGAGTTTGTAAGTCCTAGGTATCTTCCCTCCTTCCCCTTTCTATGTCCTTTCATATATGGCACATCTAATCTATAAACGATTCACTTTTCCTTTATCATGAAAAATTGCTTTCAAAATATAAAAGTTAATATGTAATTAATCCAGTAAATAAAACAGCTCAGCACCTGCAATTTACAGGCCAAAAGCATGTAGGAATCTGAAATATAATTTGCTAACATTTTTGTAATCTGTAGAATACTAGATATGGGAAGTGGAGTTGGAAAAAAGTTTTACTTTATTTGCTTTGACTGCTGTAAACTTATGACTGCTGACATATGAGAGCGGAATTACTGCCACCATAGGTTCCATTCCACTAATGTACTTATAAACCAATATGTATCAGTCAAATTCATGTCTGCCAGTACTGCTACAGAATGTGCAATAATTCATTACCTTGTTAACCGGAATGTATCCTTTGGAATCAATGGTGACCCCACTATGTTTAAGGAAGCCTGTAGTAGGACTTGCACCTAAGAATACAGTTTTGTTTGCATTAAATATTTCTTTACACAGATTTATTTGCACTTTTTATTTACATGAACAAGGAGAACAACATTGAACACTGAACATGAAAATGCATCAAAAACAGAACCAAAACACCCATACACGTTTTTAAAAAACACACTGAAAAAAACATGATTATGCGCTAATGTGAACCTTGACTAATGATGGTTATCAATATTCCTTTTAAAACACAAGTAACCTTTAACATTACAAAGAATGGGAAAATGTAACAAAAATAAATAAGGTTTAATCCCAATTTGGCCACAAAAGTGGAAATATACTCTAAGACTCTGTTGTCTCCCCTCCCAGTTAAGCAGTGACAGAGGACAATACAGTGCACATGCATCTCAGGAATGTCGGCACTGTAGCTCGTAATTCTGCTGCCTTCTTGGGCAAGATGGTGAAGGCCAGCAGTGGAATCCACTACTTGATTGCATGTGAGAATGTATGGTAATGTTACAAAAATTAGATTGACCTTCATACTGGGGAAAAAAACAGTATCTCTTTAAAGGGAAGCAGACCAGTTGTGGGATTAGGCCCTGCAGCAGGCAGTCATTTCCAGATACCTGTTTTATCTACTTCTCTGTGGCAGTAAGTCAATAAATAAAGGTTTTGGCCCATCGGGTGACTATCTCATGTGTATGACAGGCCCGCAAACCTGCTGGCCAGCCCTTGTCTGTGAAACATTAAAACAGTTAGTTCATAGTGCAGATAGTCCATTGCTCCAATTCTTAGACCAACATCCAAATATAAATCATTCCACAGGTGCAGGCAAAGCCGACTCGCCTCCACCATGCTTAACAATCCTTCTCAGAAAACAAGACGCACTTCCATGGATAACCATGAATAAAACAATGGCATTATTAATAATTATTATTATGAGGCCCCATTCACTCTTGAGCTGACTGCAATTGGGTGTTTTCTCAGGTTTGTTTGAGCTTTTGTACAGACATTCTTGCAAGCGTTTCAGGCATAAGCATTTCATTTTATTTTAATTTTTAGCCAATGCAAACTTAGTTACTAGGATAATAAAAGCATGAAAAATTCACATTTTGTGCATTGTTTGTGCTTTATTACAGGCTCCCATTGAAGTCTATTGGGGTCAAAATGCTTAACTCTGCTCCAAAAGAGGTTAATATACTTTTTTGAGCTGGAGTGCTGGCTTTCCATCACAATTGCTGCTGGCAATGCCACTGCAGGATGTGCACCCACATCTATTTAGGAGAGAAGTATTTGTACGGGATGGATTTTCCCTTATGTTAGAAACCCGTCCCAGTCACCACGGGTGATGCTTGGATTCTTTTTTTGTCTTACCTATGCCAATCACACACGCATCAGCTCTGAGGACCTTTCCACTCTTCAGCACAACTTCTTTCATCTAAGAAAGTTATTTGGTGAAAAAACATATTTGAGATTTGCATTTAACAAAATATAACAATTGTGGCCTAATTATCTGGCATAAAGGTATGTCCCACAAATCCATGAGAAACGTTGTTTTAAAGGAGGATACTTTTGTGCAATGAAAGCAATCCTATACTCAGAAAATATGTAACAGTTTTCTTTAAAGGAGAACTATGAGGTGAATGATTTTCACTCATCCTCATAGTTCTAGCCGACCTGTGACAATGAAACTGTCACAGGTCAGCTCAGTAGATCGGGGAGTGAGCGAACACATAACGGCGCTTGCTTACTTCTCGATCATGTCACTGCAGAGAGCCGTGACAGGGGAGGGACTGGATTCCTCCCTCCTCTGTCCGATCCTCCAGCGCTGACTAGCGGAACGGACGGGGGAGCGGGTGGGTACAGCTAGCTCTGCCTCTAGATAGGCAGAGCCAGCTGTCACTCATGCAGCTGGGTGGATCCAGACATAATTATCGGGATCGTTTCAGCTGCGGCGTCTCGGTATACAGCTCGCAGTATACTGAGCTTTGGGTGACTGGAGGACACTAGTTTGTGTCCTCCTGTTACCCTTAGGAGAACTATGGGGAAAAGCCTTAACCCCATAGTTCTCCTTTAACTCTTGGCACTAATGGCTGCCAGCTGAACGATCCACTTGCTGTTGCATACTCAAAGTTTTCAACAGTTTATCACAGTTTTTCACACAGACTAGAGGGGCTGCTCATCCAAGGCACTGGGGCTTCCACCACGAACATAGAAAACAAAAAGCGGTGGATGGTGATGTGACCGGGAGCAACCGTGTTACATAGTCAGGGCAATACCATGTTGGGTCAACAGACAGTGTGGCCTCTTGTTTGTTGCTAAGGCGTGATGAAAATGTTTGCTTGTGAGTACAGATATCCCTTGTTTTATTTATCTTAATAAACAATTTTACACACGTAGGTGGCGCTTTGTTCCCTTTTGTTTTCAGAAAATATGTAGACTGCCATTACTGGACTCTTCTTTGAAAATATTAGCTGTCTGGATGCAATGCTGATCAAAAGGCTTTAAAGAGGAACTTTACCCATGTCTTTAAAATGTAACCTTCCCAGGATGCAACACTTTGGCAAGATTACTTAATTTGTGCCAAAGTGGACCAGAAAGTGGATTATTTCTATTTGTAAGTAAATTAAAAACATGTTTGTTTCATTAATGAGTGTAATATGATTTTATATCAGCATGCAGAGCTGCATGTTGATATAATTTTTAGTGAAAGGAGGTAAAGTTCCACTTTAATGCATACTTTAATGCATACTGAGGATCAATACTTCAACACTTTTGTTGATTGATGCATTGAAAAAAGTATTTTGTTAAATACTTAAACCAGTAGGGATAGGCACCTTAATAGAAATATATTAGAACAAAAAGGAAAAATGGGGCTTTGAAAGAGTCCACATAATCTTGTATATAAAATAGATTTTATTGCATTAAAATCAACATGATTTTGAGACTTACAGTAGTTGCATTCAGAATGTCATCAGCCTGATACAATAATACATTAAAACCAAACTACCTCCTTTTGGTACCCACATATGTGTATACATTATACTCATGTATCATAAACTCCTTATTAGTTCTAAAACATATATTTTGTTGTGTAATCCACTGTGGGCCCAATTTTGACGCGTTTCGCAACTGCATGTGCTTCATCAGGAAGGTTGGAGGCAATTTCATGCTCACAGAAATTATTGGATCCTTATTTCGCAATCACCAAACAGGTGAAAAGGTTGGAGGTATCCAGGGATAATAGGACTGTTGCAGAAAATACCATCATCCATGTTGTTCAGGATCAGCACTTACGAAATGCGTTGAAGATTGGGCACACAGTGGATTACAGAACAAAATATATGTTTTAGGACTAATAAGGAGTTTATGATATATGAGTATAATATATACACATATGTGGGTACCAAAAGGATGACATTCTGAATGGAAGTCTCAAAATCATGTTGATTTTAATTCAATAAAATCTATTTTATATACAAGATTATGTGCGTCTGATGGACATGTTGTATGGTTTGGACACTTCAATTCAGAACAGGAGATATTCGCACTTTAAGAAGACCTAGATAAAATTAAGGCATGAACTTTAAGATGGTAAATGCGATTTAATGTTGTAAAATGTAAGGTTACGCACATGGGAGTAAAGAACGTGTGTGCAAACTACCACTTGGAGTGTGCTATATTAGGGATGTCGACCTCATAGATCACAGATTTGGCAATAGTAAACAATGCCAAGCCACAGCCAGCAAAGCAAACAAGATACCGGCGTGCATTAACCCCTTCATGACTGAGCTAGTTTTCAGTTTCTGTTCATAAATGACTGAATACTATGACTGCTTGATAAATTAACTTTTTTTAAAAATTGTTGGCTATTAGGCTGATCCAACCTTAGGAACAGCTAATAATAACCTTAGAGACTGATCCTGACTTTAGTCAGATTCAGATCTCACTAAAAGCTCTTTGATCATGCCTAGACGATCAGAGCTGATACATTTCACTCAAAAGATACATTGTATCTTTTGAGTTAAATGTATCTAAACATCGGGCTCTCGAGCTGTCAAAACAAATAGCAGAGAGGCGAGTCACTGCTACCTCTCTGCTATTTTCAGCTGTCAAATAAAGGATCGCAAATTGCGGTCCTGTATTTGCATGTAACAGCTTCATTCTTTCATTACTGAAAGGAAGAAGCTTCTACAAAAAGCTTAATTATTTCATTAATGAATGCCTCAATACTGAGGCATTTATTAATCACTGGCAACTGCTGAGAATCAGCTGTTACCAGCATTACAAAGCCTGATATAACTGGTCACGTACAGCGTACGTGGCCAGTCATATAGGCACAAAGTGCCGGGAAGTACGCTGTACGTCTCCCGTCACGAAGGGGTTAAAAGAGGGATTGTAGCAAGGGACAAAAGAGTAATACTCCCACTTTACTAATCAGTGGTTCGGCCTTATCTTGAGTATGCGGTACATTTCAGGTCGCCAACTCTCAGGAAAGATGTCCTCGAGCTGGAGAGATTTCAGCGAAGGGCTACAAAATTAATTAAAGGGATAGAGGGCCTGAGCTATGAAGTCCGCCTTCATAATTTTAACTTATTCACCTTAGAAAAGAGGCGATTAAGAGGGAATCTTATTTCAGTCTTCAAAATTATCAATGGGGACCCCAATATTTGGAACAAACTGTTCAATCTGAAAACTGTATTGAGAACCCTGGGACACAACATGAGGTTACTAGAAAGGGGGTTTAACCTAGGGACTTGTAGGGGTTTGTTCACTGTGAGAGTAGTGAAATTGTGGAATTCCCTTCCACAGGCGGTAGTATCTGTTGATAGCATTGACAGTGAGTTTCTTCTTTCACTTAATTTACAGGGCTTTGGGAAGTGTTAGAGCAAAATAAATATAGACATAGGTAAGGTTGTCTTTATTCAACCTTACCTATGTCCTTATCTACTATGTTACAATGTTACTATATCAATGTTATGTTGGAAAAAAAAATCAATTCAGGGACTTTCATCTTGTGCCATTCCTATCACTTTTAGAAAGATTAAAAAAAAAAAAACACAGAGTCCTATAGTAGCCCTATCTCCTCTTTTTCTTTGAACATAGTTAATAATGCTCTAATGCAGATAAACAATATGTAACCTATTTATCAATGTTTTAACTCAAGATTAATGCAAGTTGCGCCCAAGATTTATCCAATTTTTCCAAAAATAATCTTATGTGAAAATGTGTGAATCATAGGTGAACGTTGAGTGAATCCTGGGTGGGGAAAAGCGGATAAAAAGACCCCTATGACAGTTCATGATGATATGAATGTTGTCACAAACTACCTGTCTTTCCCATTCTCTTATACGTAAATAATAAGCAGATATTTGCATACACAGAGGTTCTCTTTATTAGTTACCTTTCCCTCTTGTTCTCTTAGTTCAGAAACTTCAGTCTGCATATAAAACTTCACCCGATTGCTTTCAAACACCTGCAATAAAAAGGTACATCATTTATAAAGTGTATAGGAATTGCATGGATGGTAATTCACTAAGATGCCTCACCTTGTCCACGGGCCCCATTGACATTGCTCAGCCGTTGCACATGCTACTGTTATGACACATAATGATCATATACTAAGTTTATGTGATCTGAACGAACTTTCTGCTGGACATTCACATATTCACTCTGCACTATAAACAGAAAGCAGCCTTGGAAAAAACACCAGCCTATATCTGTATATGCTGCTGATAAGCCAAGTATGGCGATAACAAGTCATAGAACAAACATGGAAATAATGCTTATGTATTTTTTTCCATTGCTCATTCAGCAAAGGTTTTATGGTCATGAAAATAATGTATAAACTCTGCAGTGAACATTACTACTGTATTAAGGAGACAGTCCACCCAAGACTTATATTTAGGCATTAAAGGAGAACTATGAGATGAGTGATTTCCACTCACCTCATAGTTCTAGCCGACCTGTGACAATGAGACTGTCACAGGTCGGCTCAGTAGATCGGGAGGTGAGCGAACACATACCAGGTTCGCTCACCTTCCGATCCTGTCACGGCTCTCTGCCGTGAAAGGGGGAGGGGCTGGGTTCCCCTCTCCCCGCTCCGATCTGCCAGCGCTGACTGGCAGAACAGACGGGGGAGGGGGTAGGTACAGCTGGCTCTGTCTCTAGATAGGCAGAGCCAGCTGTCACTCACGCAGCTGGGCGGATCCCGTCATCTACGTCGGGATCCGCTTGGGCTGCGGCATCTCAGTATACCGCGAGCTGTAGCTCGCGGTATACTGAGCTTAGGGTAACGGGAGGACGCTAGTTTGTGTCCTCCCATTACCCTAAGGAGAACTATGGAGAAAAACACTGACCCAATAGTTCTCCTTTAAGTTGCTGCAATTGTGTTAGTACTGCTGAAACATTCTTCATAATGTAAAATAAAAGCATCACACAGCAAAGAAATCAAGTTCACCCAATAATGGACCTGGCAGATTATGGGAACACATGGCTAAAGTCTTATAGTCGATAGATTTCCTTTTTTTAACTAAACTCAATCGACACTAAAATATTATTTCTGTGTGAACAGACTTTTATAAAACCTGGAATGAATATGGAAGAATAGTCTCAACAGCTTACACCAGCTGCAAAAGCATTCACCCATCTGTCAGATGTCCCTGACCAGGCTTATTGTCACAATTAACAATGCTTTAGCTATGCTTATAGCAAGTGGTATTAACAGCTTAGTGAACAAACTACAAATAGTGCAGCTGCCAAACCTGCTTGTGTTCAGTATACAGACAACTGATACATGATAACTATGATCCATGTTAACGAGAACTCTGACCCTAAACTGTCCACATGTGAATGACTACACCCACAGCTAACATCTTGTTTTGGGTTCAAAGTAATGAGGTACAGAGAAAGCTAGACTATGAAGAGTACAATAACTTATGGTGGTCATGAACAACAAACAGACAGCTCTAATTTTACTACAGCCAATAATGGGAACAAACATCCACCAAGCCTTTAGTGAAGGAGGGTGCCTTAGGACAACACATAGAGCCTCATTTGTCACAAGATTTGACAAGGGTATTGTCTGTGTTGCTCCACGGATGCTAATTCTGTCTCTATGAAGAGTACAATAACTTCTGTCTCTATGAAGAGTACAATAACTTATGGTGGTCATGAACAACAAACAGACAGCTCTAATTTTACTACAGCCAATAATGGGAACAAACATCCACCAAGCCTTTAGTGAAGGAGGGTGCCTTAGGACAACACATAGAGCCTCATTTGTCACAAGATTTGACAAGGGTATTGTCTGTGTTGCTCCACGGATGCTAATTCTGGCAAATTCTGATTCTGGCTGGTTGTTAAAAGGCACTATAGACATGTCTTGTTTCAGGCATGCTCATAAATGAAAACTAGTCATTACTGTAGTAATCATTCTCTTTTACACACAACACTCTTCAGTGGCAGTCCCCTAACATATTAGTTTTTCTACTTATACAATTATTACCTTCATGATTGCAAGCCCAACCTTTTCTCCTAGAAACTTCTTAAAGGGAATGTTTTCCAATTCCACAACAGATACAGAGTGAGCTTTGTCACACATGTAGGCTGCCACTTCCATCCCTAGTAAATAACACATGTAATGATTACATTCATATTGATTACTAGTAGTATGCACTTCACCCTTGTTGTTTTTTTGTCTTTCAAAACTGGCGGGTGAGGTGTGTTTACAATATTCTCACTCCATTAGGTACCAAAACTCTGGTCCTAAAGATCTCTTTGTGAATTTTAGTCTCTGATTAACACAGTTAATTTAACTAAGAAATGTAAAAAGAAGCAAATTTATAGCTGTCAATGTCAGACTGCGAGCATCACAATCTCACATCTGCATGTCTACATGAGGAGTTTATGCTATATACTGTCAATAAATATTGGTGTTTTTATAAATTGCAGCCCTGCCGGTTAAAGTCTAAATTCTTTTACTATCAATATCCGTATTAATAGACATAAAAATTGTGTTATACTGTATCATTCTTTTTATACTGTGCCAACACTTGCAATAGGTGTGTCCCCCCCCCCCCTCCCCCCATGTCAGATCACCTGCAAAGGCAATTTAAAAATAAAGCTTTTGCTTCTGATGATTCCAGGAGTCATTGGGTGATGTCTCTCTGCCTGACAGTTGTCTCCTGGGTTAGGGGGGTGCTTGAAATACTGCAAGAATTCACTCCTGCAATGGTCCTGGAGTGTAATTTCACAGGATTTCAAGCACTTATCTATCCTATCCGATTTGACTTTGGAGGGTAGGGGATTTTCAGTAGAGCAGACCTACCATTTTTGTGAAAGGTGAGCTTTGAATGGCAACAACAGTGGAATATTCCTTGGAAATGTGCATCAGTTCTGAGGCTTATTGTTTCCTTTGGGAGGGCATGTGACAGGGTGATTTACAAGTGGGACATTGGGGCAGACAAAGGCAAAGTGTTGCCAGCCCATACCACAAATTGCTCAAACAAGGACCTTTATATCAGTATCACCAGTTGTCATTTCCATAAAATAACAAAAGCCTTTCCAAGTGATATTATCATGGTAAAGCCTCTATGAGTTTTTAGTGGTTGAGCGTACGTTTACTTTAACAAACTTTGCTTGAGTTCTTTGAACTGTAGTGCTGGGGTACATTTTCTTATGTGTCCTGCCTGTGTGCACAGATCTGTGCAACCATAAATACTTTTAAATACCAATATCTGTCTGCAACAACTGATGTACAGCTAGGTCTTCAATTGTCAACACTTTAGCTACTTTTCTTTCTTGCATCCCTTGAAAAAAAAAAAAGGACCACACACCCTCACCCCAGGTGCATTGCAACCCCTCCTGTATCACCATATGCCCAAAAAGTGTTTGTTATTGTCTTAGTTGAACGCATTCAAAATAAATGTATTGGTTTTATCAGTAAGATCTGCAGTGGGTGCATGGTAGTCCTCTGTAATCCAGGACCGATTTGTCTTATTAAGATCAACTTCTGAGTCACAAATCTCCCCTTTCCCCAGCTTTACTGTAATTTAAAGGATTGGTGCCCCCCCCCCGCCCCCCCATAGACCTCAATGGGGCTCACTGCTTAGTTCAGGGGTTGCAGTTTGTGCAGATCAAGCAGGATTAGATGTACTACCAGCAAGTCAAACCCTGGGCAGATATGCTCATCCTTATTGCTAAATTAGTATGTTGGTAGCTATAATACTGTGCATACAAACATTACAGTTAGCAGTAGCACAACTCACCTAAGAAAGATGCTCCCACAATCACAACATTCCTGTTACTTGACAACTTCACCACCCTGTTGGCATCTTCCGGAGTTCGGATTGTGAAAACATTGTCCAGTTCTTTTCCTTTACATGTCAAAGTTTTAGGGCTGTGGAAAATGCAGCCTGTTACAATTTGCAGCTAAAATACCTTTCACATATTCAGCTTTGTCATCCGAGCTACTAAAGAAACTGATAGCATTATCAAGCTTACCTAAAGTGAATATAAAGTCAAAACTGTTTTTTGTTATGCTTAACCACTTGAAGACCAGGGTGTTAAACCCCCTTCCTGTCCTGGCCATTTTTCAGTATTTATTTAGCGCTGCGGTACTTTGAATAACATTTATTCCGTCATGCAACGCTGTACTGAAATTAATTAATTTTATACCATTTTTTGGGGACATATAGAGCTTTCTTTTGGTGGTATTTAATCACCACTGGGGGTTTTATTTTTCACTATAGTAAGGAACAATTACCGTAAATTTTGAAAAAAAAATAACAGTTTCCACTATATTGAATTATGAAACATTTAATAATACCCAATTTTTGGGTAAAATATGAAGGACAGGGTCACGTCGGGTAAATAGGCACCAAACATGCCAAGCGTTAAAATTGTGCGTGCCCGCGAGACCGCAAAAAACAACAATACCCAAAATTGGCCATAGGCAACGCTTTACAAGCTTTTACAACTCATCAGTTTAGTGTTATCAGTGATTGATGGCCCTAAAATTATTGCTCTCATTCCGACGTTAGCGGCGATATGTAACATGTGTAACATATGCACCCGACGCGTATTTACGTTTATATATATGTGTATACGTGGGGGTGGGGGACTTAAAAAATTGTTGTTGTTTTTTTACATTTCTTTATATGTCACTTTTATTTAATTTTTTACTTTTTTTATATTTTTTTACACTTAACGTTATTTCTATCACATAGGGGGATAACACTCCCCCTATGTGATAGCACAGGCACACTGACCTCCTCTTTATGGTCCTCTTTATGGAGACATTAGGGGTCGCTAAGGAGGGACGGTACTCCAGGAGGGGGGGTGGCGCACATGGCGGCACATACAAGCGTTCGGACGGCTATAGAGCCGCAGATCACTTGTATGTGTAACAGCCGGTAATGGCTGTACAGATTCCTGGCGGGATTCTGCTCGCACGCGCCCGCAAAAAAATATGGACATTTACGTGACCCCGCCGGGAAGGATCCGCCGTCCGCCCGTAATTTTACAATGGGCGGAAGACAAGTGGTTAATGAGAAACTGTTAGGGCACATTCACATATCAATTGTGGTGTGTTCCAGAGTGTCAGCTGCTGGAATGCACAGCAATCGCTCACAAAACTTCCCCCTTTGTTCTGGGGCGGGAGGGGGCGTGGCAGTCCATTGAAGTCATGCCCCCCCCCCAGCAGCAGTGCGAAAACATTGCCTGTGTTCCAGTCCACTGCAAACGCAAAACATTCTGCATGCTCTATTTTTTGCGTTTGCAGTGGACCGGAACACAGGCAATTGACTCAAATGCACCGCCACGCCCCCTGCTGCCCCAGAATGAAGGGGGAAATTTAGTGAGCAATTGCTGTGCATTCCAGCAGCTGCCGCTTTGGAACGCACCGAAATTGGTGTGAATGGGCCCTTAAGCTGCAATATATCTAATTTTTGCTTTTACGGTTTGGATAATGTACTTTACAATACTTGGCAAAACTTACAACCTGCAGCAGGTACACCTTGTACATGTTTTTTTGTGTTACTACATTGTTGCATTTTGTAAAATAAAAACAACTTAAACCTATAGTGTAAATTCAGATCAATAAACTCACGTGCTTCCAGTAGCAATAAGCAGCTTGTTGTATTCCATTCTAAATCCATCCTTAAACACAACTGCCTTGTTCTTTGTGTCCACGTTGACAACCTGAAATCATTTCTGTACAATGTGAATTTAGGATGCAGAGAAGAAATTTAAAGTACCAGTCAATAACTAATATAATTATGCTCACTTTCATGACATGTTGACATAGATATTTGTACTTTACTGCTATGCTGCAGAAAAAGGGACTCCAATAAGAATAACACATTTCTATAGCCTCTAACAGCAGAGCGTCTTTATGCTTTTATGCTGTTTCTTAGGTTTGATTGCTGCTAACTGGCAAATTAACGTATCTCTTAAATCAGACCAGTGAAAATCAGAGGCATAGAAAGCAAGGACGTGCCATGCCTTCTGTGCTGGGTGAGGCATCCCCAGCCCGCCGAAGCTCCGCCTTCCAGCCGAAGCCCCACCCCATCCCACCAAAGCACCGCCTCCAGCCCAGTAACCAAGCTGTGTAAGGAGGAGGAAGGGAGGAGACAGGAAGGAGCCTCCCTGTCCCTCCCTTGCTCATCACTGGCTTGGACCAATTTCGCTTTGCCATTGGTCCAAGCCATCCACAGAGCTCACGCCTCTAACACAGAGTAGAGGCTGTGACAGCTCTTGCCTCACCAAGTTAGGTTACACAAGCAGTGGGGAAGCCAGCTGCTGTGTAACCTAACTACCTGTCAAAAGCTGGATGCAGCCAGGGCCAGCCTCTGGGGTGTTCAAGCTGTGCGGCCGCACAGGGCGCCGTGGCAACAAGGGCGCCAGCGGCCGGCACAGTTCGTCCTCAGGGCGGCTACAGTCTGTGGCTTCTCTCCTCCTCACCACTTGGCCATCCGACATGAGAGCGCTCCATCCTCCTTTTAAAAATCTTTAATATATGCATTATTAAATCACCATTAAATCCTCATTTAATTTGATGGTGTATAATCCAAACTGTTCAGCGTTTTGGTAGAGATTTCCAAGAGACCAAATTCCAGATAATTTTGCCAGAGAGGCTGCTGTTCAATTGTAGGTTAGGATACCTCAGAACACATGCAAAAAAGAAAAGAACAGCGCCCTCTCTTTGTGTAATACCGCTTTTTATTACAAATTGATATAAAAGCAAATTTTATACTCACAAGAGTCCATGTGTATAACAGGTACATGTGTTGTAGGTACATGCATGTAATAAAAGTTATATGCCACTAAGCCGACTGGACATCAGAGCATCATCAAAGGCAATGAATAGGTAAGGGTTAACCCGTTTCAACGGTTAAACCATCTTCGTCAGAACCAAAACTAGTCTAAGGCAAAAGCTGTTTTTTAAATACAGGTAGATTTTTATTACATGCATGTACCTACAAGCTGTTATACACATGGACTCTTGTGAGTATAAAATTTGCTTTTATATCAATTTTTAATAAAAAGCGGTATTACACGAAGAGAGGGCGCTGTTCTTTTCATTTTTGCAACTATTTAATTTGAAATTAGACTTCTAAGCCAAACTTACTCAAGTTGTTCATAGAAAAAGAATCTTTACTAACTATTAGTTTCCATATTAAACATATACTATACCCTACAGCAGACTTCACATCCTTCCATATTTAAAAAAAATCATAATGTGCCTTATGCAAGCTCCTTACCTGTGTTTCAGTAAGAACTTCTATATCGTACATGTGGAAAAATTCCTTGGATCTTAGTAAAATCTGTTCTGCTTGAGAATCCATTGACTACAAAAATAAAAAAAAAGGATGTCATGCTTTAGCACTATTTAAATGTTTCTAAAGCAAGAAAGGTAACATCAACTAATGGGTCCTGATTCCTGGCATTAGAATCCTAAACTTATGGAAAATAAATATGAAAATTGTACTCTTACTTGTGGTCAGTAATCCAGTGTTTAGGTAAATGGGTAGATAGATAGATAGATAGATAGATAGATAGATAGATAGATAGATAGATAGATAGATAGATAGATAGATATAACTTATACCACCGCTGATTTGAGCACAGTTGCTCATGCATAGCACTACTAGCACGCCAATCAATTTAATTCAGTTCACCTAAAGATGCCGTTTAATTTTTGTCGACTAAAACATTACTACATTTTCTCCATGTTAATGTTAATGTCCCTTCTCTTTGATACATAAGCATTTTTAAGGTTATTGAAGTTGACTTGTATCATACTAGCATTGGGCATACGTACTTTGCTTAATTTGGGCCGGTCATATGGCAGGTACTTCTCTGAAGTACACATTACAATCCTATCTGAAAATCCCTCTTGCCTTAATGTTTCTGCACACACTAATCCAGCTGGACCTGAAAGGTAGAAAAAAGAACTATGTAAGTATTTATTCACCCTTACTGATCCTAAGAAAGGAGCCATCCTAAATATTATTTTACCTGCTCCGATTATGAGAATATTAGTAATTGCTGTACTATAATTACTGAGCGCAATACATTTAGCCATAACTTTGGTCCTTCTTTGTGATTGTAAAGCCTTGAAGAAGCAAGCAAAAATATATAAAAAAAATAATAAATGCACAGATTGTTAAAAAAAGAAATGTACATTATTAAAGATGTATGTATTATGGAACTATAAATGCCATGGACTTTATAGGACAGCCATTATTATAGGCCTATAATTAGACTCTGTTAAAAGGATACCCATGTTCCAAAAGAACAAGTATTGCAATAACTATGGTTTTATCATGTATTTGTGTCAGACGCATCTGCAACAATAGCACCCATAAATGAGGTATCTAGAAGCCAAACTGTTTTCATCAGTTACACAAACATGCCTCATGGTGCCCTTAACGTCCAACAAGCTTAGACACTACACAAACATGAGCATTTTCAGAGACTTGAATATTTCTTCCAATTATCCCTGCTCAGAGTTGGCTTACTGAATGCCTACCCATGTGAAGAAATAGAGGATGGCAGTCTCAGAGTCTTTGGAATAGCAACTGGGAATAGACAGGTTCTGCCATCCTTATGAAGAAATAAGAAGCTGTAACCTTAACACTATCTGTGGTTTTGCCACTGACTAAGAGAATTTAGTTTTGGCTAACTATACAATCAATTGCAGAATATATGTATAGGCAAGACGCAGCCTTTCACTAAATTATCATGATATGAAAATCCTTTAGACATAATTTTGATTCAGTAGTTTTTGGGGAATGTCATTTCAGAAAACACTGCAATATGGGGAACCAGATTAGAGAAATAGACCAATAATATAGGCAGGAATCATATAACTTTAAGCTTCTAATCGTATTTAGGAAAGTGGCTTACCTGTTTACTGGCACGAATGTATACTCTTTCTTTCTCTATTTTAACCTAAAAAGCATAATAGTATGACATTTGAATATTTCTTCATTTTAAAATAAAGGATGTGCATGTTTTCTGTTAAAGTAGCATTAAACTCTCAAAATAATGAATCCAGATCAAACAAATATACACTCACCAGCCACTTTATTAGGTACACCTTGCTAGTACCAGGTTGGGCCCCCTTTTGCCGTCAGAATTGCCTTAAAATTGCATGCGTCCGCGAACTCGCAAAAACTACCATACCCAAAATTGGCCATAGGCAATGCTTTAAAAGCTTTTACCGCTCATCAGTTTAGTGTTATCAGTGATTGATGGCCCTAGAATTATTGCTCTCACTGCGACGACCGCACACCTGCACGCATATTACAAGCGATCGAGCGTCTCTACAGACGCCCGAACGCTTGTATGTAAACAGCCATCGCCGGCTGTTTACATTGCAGGCTGATTTCCCGCTCGTGCCCACAGCCGCTGTCCGGCCGTTTAATTACAATGGCCGGACAGCAGGTGGTTAACAAAGCTCTTTTACTATTCGGTGGGATCCACTTTCAGAAAGCCTAAAGGGTATCTTTGGTCAACCACTAAAAATAAATCTGTATTTTTATATTGAATTTACATAAGTTCTATCCCACTCCTAGTACCCATATCAATTTCACTCAGTCTTGTGAATATTCATTTTCTTGTGTTACAATTAATCATCTGAACAATGTAACATCATCATTGCTTGCTGGATGCAATGCATGATGGGATATACACTGAGTGGCCAGATTATTATGACTACCCCATCAGTACTTCGTTGGGCCACGAGATGACTCCACGAGATGACTTCGTTGGGCCGCCTCGTGACTCCACGAGATGTTGAAAGGTGATGCAAGGAATCTGACACTGCACTGTTGCCCTTCTGTTGTCTTGTACCAGTCTTGCCACTCTCTATTTTGCCCTAACATTGACTAGTCGCTGACGGCCACAATTCGCACGTTCAGACCAAGATTTTCGGCTGACAGTCCAGTCTTTAAACACTTTAACAACAGCTGCTCTTGAACATTTAATGAATACTGCTGTTTTGCTGATACTCGCTCCATGGCTCCGAGCGCCAACAATCATCCCACTCTCAAAGGCTGTTAAATCGCGTTGTTTACCGATATCTTCAGAAAAAAATCACTTCTACTGTCGTGGTAAACAACCTGCTTCCCTATTTATAATGGTCTGGCCCTCTAGCAACTTCAGCGCAAAATTATAGCTAATTATAGCTAATTTGCCTACAAACGTCAGGTCGTCATAATAATCTGGCCACTCAGTGTATAGTCTTGAGAAACTGAGACTGCATCACATTAAGCGCCAGGGAAAGAGATGCAAAGCACATTGAGAATTACGGATGCTGTTAAAGGTGATGAGCAGATGGAAGGCAGAACGCACTACATAAAAGGGATTTTATCAAGTAAGCTTTAAATGCATTATCAAAAACAACTCTAGTATGTATTCCTATTACAGTGCTGATGTTATAACTGCAGAGTATATGCTGTGACTATAGAACTCCTTTAACCATTTGAGGTTACATTAAGTTTGTATCAAGGGATCATAAAGAAGTCATCTTTATAGATTTACACTATTAACTTAATTATACTTTGGATTATTTGCTCTTCTAACCATGACCACAATGACTGCATATTTCATTTACAAACTTGTACTTAGCATGGCTGCTGATTCTGTTCCTTCCTATTCAATAAAATGTAACTTCAGGATTAACAACTTGACTAAAGCGATTGGAAATATTGATCCATTTCTAACCTAATCCCTCGGGGTATATTTGCACTTCTGTTGTCATCATAACAAGTATTGAGCATGATAAAATTAAGGATTTGTTTATTAAGACAACATAAAAACACTGATAGGAAGGTCCAACTACTGATCCTTTATTGTGCACAAATTTCTATTTAAACTGTTAATGATCATGTGAATTTCATAGTAAATGGTCCATCATATACATTAATGAAGATCACCCCAAGATGACATGTTACTCTATTAAACAGGGTCTATTCACTAAGCTGCCGAAGGATCTAGCCGTAGCTTCAGCTGATCCTCCGACTAGCTTCGGCCCCAGGACCCCTTCGGTTCAGTAGAACCGAAGGGCTGCTGTACGGGCTATTCACTATAGCCCGTACAGCTCCCGAAGTCGGCCGAGCGGCTCAGTCGAGCCGAAGGCATATGCCTCAGCTCGACTAAGCCGCGGTGAAAGCCGAAGCTGGTCGGAGAGCGGCCTCTCCGTGTTCTCAGTGTGTAATGACAGATGTCTTCCTGGTTACCTGGTAACCAGGAACGCCATCTGTCATTACTCTCCCCCTCGCTCATGGAGTCTAATACGACTCCCGGCCGCCCGGGAGAGAAACACTTTCTCCCAGAAAGGTTCACTCTGCTCGATCGAGCAGAGTGAACCTTTCCCTGCTCGGTTATTTATTTATTATTTGTTTATTTTTTTCTTCTGACATCGGAGCCGTTTTGGCTGCCGTCAGAAGAAAAAGAAAAAGAAAAGAAATCACCATAGGAATGCACAGCTAGATTCCTATTGGCTATTTCAATTTGCAATAGCCAATAGCAAACTAGCTATTGCACCCGCCCACTGCCGCTATCAATCAGCAGAGGGGGACCTGCAGTTCTCCATCAGGTCCCCCTCTGGTGATTGACAGCAGCAGAGGCCGGGTGCAATAGCTAGTTTGCTATTGGCAATTGCAAATTGAAATAGCCAATAGGAATCATGCTATGCATTCCTATGGTGTGTTCGGTTTTCTTTTTGGGTTTTTTCTGACGGCAGCAGAACCGCCCGGCCAATAGAAAACAGTTGGGCGGAGCTAGCTGTCACTGCTAGCTCCGCACAATCGTTTTCTAATCCTTTTTTTTCTACTTTTGAAACTATTTTTCTATCCTGCTCGGTTCCACAGAGGGACCAAGCAGAACAGCCGAGCTATTTACTCACTGCTGTTCGGCATCTATGAGAATAGACCGAACAGCAGCGAGTAGTCTGCAGAGGTTCGGCTTAGCCGATCCAGATGTTGGATCGGCTGAGTCGAACTCCTTCTGCACTTTGGGTCGGCCGAACATGCTGAGCATGTTC